TCCGATTTCCCGACCCGCCAAAGGGTAAAGCTCATGAAAATCGGGGCTTTATGGGGTTTTTCCTTTTTTGATTTGCTGGACTTGTTGATATTGTGAACAGAGAGAGAAGATGGTGATAGTGATTGATAGTATGCGGTTTGGTATACGATAAGGAAGGTATACCTTACTATGACATAATTTATGGGTATATAAGAGAAAACGATGTCGTTTAGCTAGGAGCTGCCATTGTCAAAGTTTGGAGGTGAATTTTTAGGGCATACGGGTCCTTTTTGTCTGAAGCCTGCAATTGAATTGGGGAACATATGCAGTGTGAGAATTAAATTAAGGGTAGTGGGAATGTTTGTAGGGTTTTTGAAGATTTCTTAAAAGGGTTGATCTTTGAGTGTTTCCAAGCTGGAATTGAAACTAATGTGTAGTTGCTTGAGTGGGGAAAAATAAATTTCCTTTTTCATGTTTTGGGGAAGAGATGGAATTTTGGGTGTGGTTTTGGTTTTGTCTCATTTTGTATTTTCCATGGGTTAGTTTCCAATTTCCATCCAGAATTAATTCATCGATATTGAAGGATGGGGCTCCACAGTACCTAACAGGATTTCTTTCTTTCTTTGTTCCTCTGTTTCCAGGTTGAAAACTTAGCTTTTATCCCTATTATTATAATTTAAGATGCTTTATATAATTAAAAAAATTTTATATATAGATTAAGATATAGATGAGGTCATACAAGCTGAGTGATTGCAGAATTTCCTACAAATCCCCCAGTATGCGAGTGTAGTTGTTTGATCATAATAAGTGCCTTGATTTCGCATTATGGTAACAATCTGAGATGAGAAGTTTGGCGGATATCTGTTGCCTTTTATTACATTTCTTACACATTTCTTGCCATATAAAGTTGCCTAAATTCTGTGGTGTTGTCCAATAAGAAAAATACATCAAAAATTGCTACAAATTCTTTACGATCTTATCTTCGATAATGAAGTGCCAAAATAAAAGTTTGAGTTATGGAAATTTTAAAGTACCAATTGAAACCAGAGTTTCAACAGGAAGTTTAATCATCTTTAGGTTATTGTTATTGGAGTTTCTACAAAATTGAGTTTGGGTAATTACTTTTATTAATCAAAATGATAATTTTGGATTATCATGAAGAAAATGTCAAAAGGAGTTTCTACAAATTTGTAATTTTTGGATTTTTAACTTATTTATTACGAATTTTGGAAATTTAAATATGAAAATATCAGTCCCGATCTCTTGGACCACAGGTGTTGGCGCTAAAACTGGGCATGTAGTAAGTAGGCCAACTTAAAGATGAGGTGGATGCTGAAGGTGAGGACCCTCAGTATGTAAGAGCATTCGGTAAGTAAATTGACATGCATACAGAAGACAAATGTACGTGGTTCACCCGAATGACTTACGAATTTTGGAAGTTTAAATATGAAAATATTAGTCCCGATCTCTTGGACCACAGGAGTCCAAGAGATTGTGGTCACCTATCATTGGATATTAATCCAATGGTTCAAAAAAGTTTCTTAAAAGGAGTGCAAGAGTGAGTGAACCGTTGAATTTATATCAAATGGTGAGTGACTACAAATCTCTTGGACCCTTGTAATCCAAGAGATCAGGACTGATGAAAATATAATAACAAAATCACTATTTATTACGATTTTTAACTGGTGCGCCATCACTATTTTTGACGAGTAGCGCATTCCGATAATGCCATGTGTCTTTTTATTTTACTTTGTGTGTTTTTATAATTTAATAAATTCATAGAAAACTAATTAAAAATCAAAAAAGTACATCGAAAATTGCTACAAACTCCTTACAATATAACTTTTTATTATGAAAGTCTAAAATCATGATTCCACTTTTTTTAGTTAATAATAATTATTGAATCAAAGAAATAAGAGTGTTAGGTGATAGAACATTAATTATTGTTTTGATTTGTTTATAAACAAAGCTGAGTTATTCCTATCTTTTTGCATTTTTGTAAGTTGAAAGTAGCTTTGCGGAGGTTTAGGGTGAAATGAATGTCACAAGGAGTTCCTGAGAAATTTCAGTGTATTTTTATAATTTTTAATTTATTTGTTATGAACTTTTAAAGTTAAATCTTATAAAAATAAGAAAAATTTAAAGAGATCGACGCGTGTCAGCAGATGAAAGGTGCGTATGTCAGTGTCTTTGACAGTGTCCGCATACGATAGTGAAACGTGTTATCTGCTTATTTATTTTCTTTTTATCTTAAAAAATTCATAAACAATTAAATAAAAATCATAAAATACACCAAAAATGTCTACAAATTGCTTACAACATAGCCTTTCATTATGGGTCCAAAATCATGATTCACATATTTGAGTTCATGGTAAACGAAGATAAATTGAAAAACAAAATAAATAAAAAGAAAGAAAGAGGGCAAAGAAGGAGCAAAGCTATCTGTTTTTGCTTCAATTGGCATTTGCAAAACGACACCGTTTGAGTTCTCACACAAAACGCTCGTTTTGGCATTCTTCGTACAGCATTCTTTTCTCCCGGACAAAAGCTTAGCGCTGTGTAACTCCTCTGCCATTGGTTGCCGTCTACTGGTGGTTCCGTTGAGTCGGTGAGTCGGTGACGCCGTCTCCAATTAAATAAAGTCAGAAGCCCTTATTTAACCTAGGTAATTTTATTTGCAAAATCTTATAAATTTCTTGTGGGTTTTTCATTGAAGTTTTTTGAACGATAGGGTTTGATTTCAGCTGTTTGTGTTTAATTAATTTGGCACGTTCTGCTTAAAAATTCCGATTGCCTTTGAGATTGGACAAAGATTGGATTTCCTGATTGCTGTGAAGGTTAGTAGTCAAAGGGAAAGAAATTGGTTAAGCTCTGTTGTTTGGTTCTACTGCTGTATTTTGTGATTTTTGTTTATTTGGTTCTACTCTGCATTCTAAAATTACTTCCCTAGTCTGCTACTGAGTACTGAAATATCCTCTTCATAATTTCCCCTGTTGCTCTCTAACTTCAAATATATAGAGAGATAGAATCATAGGAAGCATTTCAAGTGACTAGGTTTGCATTGAATTCACTGGTAGTAGGATGAAAACAAAATAAAGGGTTCAGCTTTTTTTTTTTTTTTTTATTGAGTTCATGGTAAACGAAGATAAATTGAAAAAAAAAAAGAAAAAAAAAGAAAGAAAGAGGGCAAAGAAGGAGCAAAGCTATCTGTTTTTTATTCAATTGGCATTTGCAAAACGACACCGTTTGAGTTCTCACACAAAACGCTCGTTTTGGCATTCTTCGTACAGCATTCTTTTCTCCCGGACAAAAGCTTAGCGCTGTGTAACTCCTCTGCCATTGGTTGCCGTCTACTGCTGGTTCCGTTGAGTCGGTGAGTCGGTGACGCCGTCTACTGCTGCGCCGTCTCCAATTAAATAAAGTCAGAAGCCCTTATTTAACCTAGGTAATTTTGTTTGCAAAATCTTATAAATTTCTTGTGGGTTTTTCATTGAAGTTTTTTGAACGATAGGGTTTGATTAATTTGGCAGGTTCTGCTTAAAAATTCTGATTGCCTTTGAGATTGGACAAAGATTGAATTTCGTGATTGCTGTGAAGGTTAGTAGTCAAAGGGAAAAAAATTGGTTAAGCTCTGTTGTTTGGTTCTACTGTTGTATTTTGTGATTTTTGTTTGTTTGGTTCTACTCTGCATTCTAAAATTAGTTCCCTAGTCTGCTACTGAGTACTGAAATATCCTCTTCATAATTTCCCCTGTTGCTCTCTAACTTCAAATATATAGAGAGATAGAATCATAGGAAGGAGAGGCTTATTGGATATTCATTTGAAGTGACTAGGTTTGCATTGAATTCACTGGTAGGAGGATGAAAACAAAATAAAGGGTTCAGCTTTTTTTTTTTTTTTTTTTT